GAAAATTAAACTTAGAAAAAATTGATCTGTTAATAAATTTAGAATTCGCCCAGTGTGGTTTATAAAAAACTGAAATGTAATCCAAAATATAACATTGAAGTACTTATTTATATATATAAAGATTGTTATGTCTTTTATTAATTTCTATCGTTTACATTAAAATAGGTTCGGAAGGACAACTCAATAACACCATAGAGAGCTTTTGAAGCCAATGCAAGCCCGTCATATCAATGCACGAATTGATGAAACAACATTTGATACGTACTTCTTAAGGAAGAGGATACTCTCAGTGTCCCTCGGCGTCCAAATTATGGTCATCTGAGAGTTCATGATGTAACATATTATTGTGTTATTAAAAATTAAAAATAAGTTTTATTTATGTTGTAAAAATTTTTACCAGCTTTGATTTTTTTTAAATATTTTTTTTATTATGGAATATCCAATTTTTTACACCTAGCTTACTTCAACTAGAGAATTTATGAGAGACCCCAATAAATTTTACAGTTAAAATAAGTACTTCTAGTTCTATTTATAAAGTATTTTTAACATGTTTTATACAAACAAACAAAAAAACCTTAACCTGTATTAACTCTTCGTTAAAATATAGTAACTTTTTCATTTTATCTCTATTTAATATGTACACCTTTTAAAAAAACTATATACACTATAATAACTGAAGGATAATATGGTATGTTCATGATAAAAATTTAATAAAATGATTTATAAATAGAAATAAAAAAAATCTTCTCTCTATCCTATAAATAGGACGAGAGGAGTAGATCCAAGAATTTAGGTGGTCCACTCCAAAAAAAATTGTCAATTTTATTTTTAATTTTTAATAGTATGATGATGTGGCATATTATGAGCTCTTAAATCAATCTGGACGTACCACATTGAGACACTGAGGGACGATGAGAGGGAGGCCATTGAGAGGATCCGGACCCACTTTTTAAACAAAATCTTAGAGTAATTACAACTGTTTCTTATTGGGGATCACTGTAAGTGCGGCTGCATCATACAATATTGTATTTCATGCTATTTATGATTGTTGTTTTAATTTATATGTTTTTTTAATATAAATTTTATTTAATTTGATGGGTCATTGCATCCTCATATTTTCAATAAAAAAAGCAAACGAAAAGAAATCTTAAACTTGAAAAAGAAGAAATTATAAAAGACCAAATTATTTATCTTTTAAATAAAAATTGACTAACCCGTCTTCTTAAAAAGTATACTGCATGTTAAGAATATAGAAATTGATAAATTAAATAGTTAAAAAAAATGATCGAGATACATTTCTTTGAACTTATCTTCTTTATATGTACAAAAAGCAGGGAGAACTACTGAGGATGTAACCATTAAGAACGTCCCCAAGGACTTGAACATCATTTTTTTTTTACTCATAAAAATGATTCAAATATCCATATATAACTTTCGACTAGAACTTGTAACTCGGACTCAACTAGATGAGTATTTCTACCCACATCTAAAATATTTATATTTTAGCATTTAATATTTTAGGTATCATTTTCCTGTTCAATTTTTCTTTTAATATTTAAAAATGTATAATTTGTATATTGTCTTTTGTGTCTTTTGGCACATATCGTTAAAAGCTGACATTATTTCTTGAAATATCACAATTATTCTTTTTCATTCTCTTATCTCATAAATATCCCATAACATATTCATTTAAAATTTCTCCTCCCATTTTCGCAGTTATTATTCCTTTTCATTTTCTGATCTCACGAGTATGAAGTTTTTCCATGCATTTTGTGATTATTTAGATAAAATTGATTCAAACAGTGGAATTTATAACTCATCTTGATTGTTTCTTGCACAAGTTCTTTATACTTATATCATCATTAGGTTCTCCAAACATCTTGTGCACATATTGTTGGAAAAATACACAATGAATTTTAAATGCTACAATTCGATCAATTAACATATTTTGAAAGAATACTTGAAAATTTCTTAAGTAGGGGGGAAAAAAAGGTGATCTCTGAAGAATTAAATGACGCTAATTCTAAAGAATTTATATAACAAACACACATGATTTCCTATAAATTCCATTATTTGACATACAAATTTTGGTGAAAGGCCTGTAAATCAACATAGGGAAAAAACAAAAAAACAAAAGGAAGGTCACGCTTCATACGCAGTATTGATTTTAGATGGAATGGAAATAGTAGGGGTGACGGAATTACAAATGGGGCTTTAATTTTATGTTTGGCATCAAGTAATACGTGGAAGGAACACATGCATTTATTTTATTTTTATTTTATAATAAGATATATATATATATATATATATATATAAAGATTAAAAGGCTATAATACAATACTTCTTGGTGTTTTAGAGCTTGGGACTCCAACCTCATACGCAACTATGAATGTTAGGCCACATGATCATTTTTTCCAAAACCATAAACACACTAAATTTTGTCTGATTTTACAACAAAAAATACATTAAAATATTTACCATCAAAAATTGAATTTGCCTATAATAATTAAGGCAAGTGAAAAATATTTAACATTTTTTTGTTATGAATTAATATATTGTGATTAAAATAATTTTAAAAAATATTTTCATTTAACTTAGATTTTACAATATTCAAATCTTATAATCTAATTTTAATACTCCTCCGGTCCTAATTATAAGACCCAATTGACTTATTTGAGGAGATTAAGGAAGTAAGTTAAGTTGGTTATTTATAATAAATAAGTGTTGTTATTTCTAAAATATCCTTGCTAATTAAGTAAATTGGCTAAAACTATCATTATTAGAAGGATTATCTTGGAAAAAAAATGCATAAATATAAGAGAGAAAATGGATTGGGTCTTATAATTAGGACCAAATAAAAAGTCAAATTGGGTCTTATAATAAGGACCGGAGGAGTAGCATCTAAGATTACATTCACAGAGTAATTGGGACCGTAATGCAAATCTTTCTTCAAATAAATCCTATTTTTGTTTAAACAAGGTTAACACATTCAGATTCAGTCTGTAAAATGAAGGACCAGTGGAAAAAAAATGCTTTCAACAAAGGACATCAAGGGGGAAAAAAAAGATTCAAGTTTGCCAAGAACCATTATCATTGAAACCTGCAGTCAAAGAGGAAATATATAAGGACTTGTAGCAAGCAAAGTATTACAAACTACCAAGAAACAACAGAAATACTTTACAATGAATCTCATGATGTCCACTTGAATATACTTTACAAACTTTTCAAATATTACTAAAATTATAGTACGTTTTAGTTTGAGCACAAATGATCTACTGTGCAGAGGATCAATGGTGCTCATGGAAACTTTGTGGAAAAAATATATATATAACTTTTCAAAGTCTCCTGCTGTGCATACGCAAGAATGATATGGGGGAAAAAAAATGATCTGCGGTATAGTACTCCCTTTGATGCTAAACGTAGAATCCATTTTAATTTACGATACAAAATGAGTCCTACATTTTGGACCAGAGGAGTATTAAGTATGCTCTGTACAGTAGCATGAATAGATTCAGTGATACAACAGACAATAGAAAACAATCACTCTGCATAAAAATGATATGGAAATAAGTCGCAAATGTGTATTGCATGAAAAGTTGACTTGTATGCTTAGCTTCTTCAAAAATGAACTTTAATCAACTTTGCCTGTAATTTGAGTAATTTAACCTGCTAATTTATATCCTTCAGTGGTGCGCTAAATTCAATGCACAAGACAACCCTGAATCAACAGAAAATCCCTTGTATAACTACAAACCGATCCGTTCTTAATATTACTGTTGAATGGTTAAAAGAATATGCAAACAAGAAATAATTCCGTTTGAATTACGCCCCCTTCATCTGAAATCTACATATGCAAACTTTCCCAGATGTGAAATGAACACATGCACAACTAAGAATTTTATTCAATCCTGCTTATAGCAAATCAAATCAGAAAGACAGGCATCCGGAGGCCCCACCCCCCCCCCCCCAGCTCCCCGCCCTCAGGGGGGGGAGAAGAAGCTTTATTTCACTATGTGAAGTTACATGACTTCATTGAGCTCCATCAACAACTAGCTGTTCCCCCAAAATAACTAAAAAATAAAAATAAAAAGGCGGAAAACGAGCCAACGTGTAAAAGGGACAAAAACAACCCGCTATTACCACCTAAAAAAACAAAACAATCTGTTATCGCTCACTCCCCTGCAGTTCAAAGAAAGCTTAAAACCTTGCCTCCTGATTGAAGTAATAGTGTGATATAAAAGAAATAACAGATTGTAGTGACAAATGTTGAGATTTACTTTCTAGCTAGCAAGAATGTTAGATACAATTTACCTAATAAAATAACTCACAAAAATAACAACCTATAATATGAGAACTTCAAGATGTGTTCATCTACCTTTTTTTACATTTAATAAAGAAATCTAATCCCAAATGCTTCTAAGTCCAAACAAAACAGAAGACAGCCGGCAAGTTAAGTCTTCTAGCTAATATGGAAAAACAGTTGGGCTAAAATAACAGGCATGCTGATAATCTAAGCCCATCTCTTCCAGCAGAGTTCAACACTGTGAAGCTATTGCTCTTTCGCATCTTCTTTAAATATAAGGCAACTCTAGTATTAACACATATTCCATGTATTTCCATCCTCCTTGAATATAGGGTAACGATAGTATTAAGACTATTTTTTATCATGCTTTTACCAAAGAACGTGCCAAGCACAATCTGATACTTGAACTGATGGGCGTTCATATCCTTGCAGTTTTCTAATATACTCAGAGAGGTTTAGTGTAGCTATTGGAGGATAAACTCAATTGAAAGCTGAGGAAGGACCTGAACAATATGGCCCTATTAACGGAACCAAATATCATTGTGCATTCATTATTTTAATATTTTAGTTTACACGTAGAGACACTCAGAAACTCACCCCAATACCTCAAATCAGAATTTGCTCGACCAGTAAGGTTAAAGTCGGTAACTCTACATATCCAAAAGGACATCAATGCTAGTTAAAATCATAATCAAGATGAAACATAACAAAGAGCTACTAAATCAAAGCAACAAATACAACAACAAGAAATACAATCAACAGGGATCCCATGACAGCATTGTTCTCCAACAACAACCAAATCTTTGCATGAATTGTTAAACAAGAGATCCCCTCAATAACTTCATCAAGTGTTCTTCCTCTACACCACCCCATTTCATTTCAGAGGACTCCAACTACGAACCAAAAATAAAAGCCAAGACATATATAAAACAATAAATAAAAACTATAAACTGGAAAGATTACCAGCATCACCGTGAAGGGTTAAGAGCCATGAGCAATTGCTGCCCACCAGGAAGGTAGGATACATTAGGCGACTTGGCTAAAGTGGAAGCCACCTCCCTGGAAGCCTCAATCCTCCTAAGCTCAATCAGCCCCGTACCGGCAGCCGCTGTTGCATCTGAAATTAGCTTAGCAGATTCACTCTCTCCCTCAGCTCTAATAATGGCAGCCCTTCTTTCCTGCTCCGCCTTCATCACCACGAACTTGGACCTTTCTGCCTCTTGTTGGGCCACCTGCTTCTGCTCCACGGCCCTTGAAAACTCAAAACCATATGACAAATGCGTAATTGCGACCTGTGTAGATATCAGAAATCAATATATGAATTGCATTCTCCAACTAATATCAACCCAAACAGAATTTGGATCAAAATCAAATAACCAAACATACATCATCAAGAACTATGTTGAAGTCCTTAGCTCGCCGGACCAAACTCTCGCGAACAAAAGCCGAGACCTGGGGACGCTCCGTCAGGAGCTGATCAGCATTGAATTGAGCAACCACTGCTTTCAATACTTCATTTCCAATTGAAGGAAGAACCTTCTCGTCATACTCGAGACCAAGATTCTGGATTATCACTGGGAGGCGAGACGTTTCGGGACGAGAGAGGACACGGAGGGTTAGGTTGACCATCTGCAAGTCCTTGGTTCCAGAGACTGAAGAGAAGGTGTGAGGCCGTGTGCGAATGTCGAAAATGTAAGGCTTCTGGACCCAAGGGATGAGGAAATGAGTTCCCTCGCCGACTGTTTCGTCAAGAATGCCCCGGAAACGGTCGAAGAGAACGGCACGTTGGCCACCATCGACGGTGTAGAGGCTGGAATTAAGGACGGTAGCAGCGGCACCGAGACCGAAGGCGGCGCGTGCAATGTTCGTGAGGAATGAAACAGCTGCTTGGCTACCCATTCGATGGAGATAGCCCTGTTAGCGATGTTTGAAGAAGAAGGGAGTAACTTTGCAAGCGTCAGTGAGGGTTTTACTTCGTCGCTATTTGCAGCAAAACCCCAGTCTCGCTTGCAAGAGAGGGCAACGCTTTTTTTTTTTTTTTTCCATTCAGAAGCAAGGCTTTGAGTAGGCTTGCCCGGAACGAAAATGGGCTTTAACCGTCCGAACTTTATTATGATGATCTCAAACCCCGATAAAAAATGAAGGTTGTGTTAGATCTTTGATAGCCAACATAAAACTTTGTCCTGAACTTTGTTTTTCCATTTTCGGCCTTCAACTGTTGGTCGAAGGGAAAATACTGGACCTTAAATTCTAATTCGTGTCTCCAACAGAAGCCCAATAACTTCTAAGCCTAAAACAATTCATCATATTTGTACTTTAAAAACAGATTTATGTATGATCTTTTACATGAATGTTTAATTTACTTATAAATTAACAGCTTTTCTATTTAAATATTACTCTTTTTAAACTTATATATAAATATTTGTATATTTTAATCATAATTGAGCTCATTGCATCAATCGCTCTTGAACAATTCAATTGTCAATCCAATTGCGAAAATCTTAAAAAATACTATCTCTAGTCATTAATATAAAAGCTATTTTAAATTTTAATTTAATTTTAAATATAAGACTCTAATCCATTTTTTTCTAATATTTAACTATTTTTTCAAAATAATCTTGTAGTAGTCACATATGTTAAATAATTCATCAAATGATAATTCTAGCTAATATACATTATTAGTAAAAGTATTCTAGATAAGACAATATATATTTATTACATATAACTAACTTAACAAACTTTCTTAATATATTTAAATTAGTCAACTAGTTTTTATATCAAGGATCCAAGTTAGTACATTGTCTGTATGTGATGCAGGTGGAAATTGAAACAAAGACAACACATTAACTATGTTCATTGCATTTTCTCCTCGTTGCAGTTCCAAACTGTTCAAACATAGAATTTAACGATGTACTTCATGCATATTTGTTTTCCTGCCTTTTATGATTAATTTTAATAGTAGTAACATTTTTTGTTTGCTTTCTCACGAAGAACTGACGACTTGATGCAATCCGAAAATATTTTTTGCCATTTGATTTGATCAAGGGTTCTCCTATCAAGGTTTAGGGTGCAAAAAGTTTTCATTTCTCCTAACAAATACACTTTTTAGGATTTAAACTTGTATTCTTTTCTTTATGAGGTGAGGCCCTTACCTCCTCAGCTAATGGCTTGTTAATAGAAATATTAATTATATGCATAAGATGACTAAGAAATTAAATAGAATTTTTTATTAGAAGTTAGTTAAGCAATATTGTACTCCTGATCTTGTTCTTAATACAAGATACAATTATTGAGTTGATCTTGATCATAAATACAAAATCTATTTATCACTTTTATTTTTTTTAAATTATTTCTATTAATACTCCTTCAACCATAATCGAGTAAGAGAGAAGGAAAGATATTGAGAAAGATAATTATGACATTTTAGAAAAAAAACAGGTCATATTTTTTATAATTAACTAACTTGCCTAACTTTTTTAATTTAATAAAATTAATTAAATAAATCTTACATTAAGAACTAAAAGAGTATAATCAAATTGTTTATCATAGTTTCGCCCAAGGGTCTGGGATTACGATAAACAAGTAAAACCCAACGCATATCATAAATCTGGCTCTTAAGAAGGTCAACACATGACAATGCAACTCGATGTCTTTATATTGATGGGGATCAGAAACAAGTGACATATTAGGTGTGTTTAGATAAGCGGCTGCAAAAGTGATTTTTATTATCACCTGATTTTTGCAAACGTAAGCTAGAGTAAAAGTCTATTAGTATAATGTGATTTATGTTTGAATTGATATTTATAAAAATGCCAATTTGACAAGTTGAAACTATTTGGATAATTAGTAAAAAAATAAGTTTAGATATAAAATGACTGAAAAAGACATCAATTTTATTTAATAATATATGTTTATATTTTATGTTTATAATGTGATAATTGTTAGAGAATAATTAAAAAAAATTATAAAAATAAACATAATTATTATCGAGAAATTTTGAAAATACATTTTAGTTAATTAAATATATTTAATTAATGGATATACATGAATATAAATTTAGTGAAATTGAAAATTTTTCAACTACATAATTTTCTAGTTAAAAATGACGTAGTTAAATATTTTGTTTTATGTTAATTTCATTTCATTTATTTTATTTTTTTTCCTTTGATTTAGTTCTCTTTTTAATCCTCCATTAGGTACATCAATTGTGAATTTAGATCTAAGACGCAGCATAAGGAAGGAACACATGTGATGGCAATGCTCTTCCCCCAACCCTCCATTCACATCTTGATTGACTGGGTTTCTTCATTGATTTCTTTAGATGGAGATCGCAAGCTAGAAAAGAGGGTGGAGGGGGTGAAAGCTTTTGGTCTTCTTCTCAAGAAGGCGGGCTTGATGAACTGCACAAGGGCACTAGAGATAGGGGTTAGTTTATACGACTGGACCTTCTTCTTTAAGGGCAACTTAGAGAGAGAGGGAGGGTCACTACACACTACTGTGATTCTTCTTCTTCAGCTTCGATGAGCTTGGACGTGTGAAGGAGAAGAGAGAAAAGGGACAAATCTGGGTTTGCAAATGCACACAATGGCAGATTAATTAGCCTTTGCAACGCCCGCCACAACCTCTCCCCGCATTTGCCGTCACCATGCTTTTTCTCCAAAAGCGATATGGAGAAAAAGCCAATCCAAACAAGTTTTTTTTTTTTTTTTTCAGATGAGCCGTCAATCCACATTTCACATTTTCCCAAGCATTTTTGGAGCTTTCAACGGAGATCCAAACTCACGCTAGAATAAAAGACTCACTACCAACTTATCCAAATTTGTCCCATGCAAAAATTATATTGATAATAATGTTATGCTAATAAGATATATCCATTTTTAATATAGCATTCACAGGTAATTTTCAAGGCTTCAAATATTCTTTATTGTCCTTCAAATAAAAATTAGTTGGGGTTTGCTTTGATCTTAAACGTAACATCTTAATTTACTTTTTTTTTCATATTTTTTAATTGTTTTTTCAAACTGATTTACATAACTTATAAAATAATATATAATATAATGGGGTTTTAGATATTTTAAAAAGATCATGTCATATTTATTATAATTAACTAATTGATTTAAATCTATCCAAATTACTCCTCCGGTTCTAAATATATACACACTAGTGTGTATAAGAGTCTTATATTTAGGATTGAAGGAGTAGTTGATTAGCTATTATATTAAAGAGCCACGGATGTACTATAAGTGTTAAAAGCAGTCTACAATTAATACTTCACGAGTATACATAGATAATTTTGGTATGCACATGAATAGCTTTTATTTTTAAAAATAGCTGTGAATTTGGCATCATTCTCAAAATTTACAACTACGTACAATGCCCTGATTGAGCTCAAAATATTAGTTTCTTTTCATATCATTATCCATGATTTTGTCATACTTTCTGGTCCTTTTAAGTGAAAATTGTGCTTAACTGAGATTTACGGTTCTTACTTTGAGTTAGTGTCATTTTGAGGATTAAATTGTCATAATTGGTTGTTAATTGGATTCAATTAACTTCTAGGACAATTGATACTTCAATTTGTTACTTTTTATTGTAGGACACTAAAGATTTGGGGCCAGAATTGAAGAACTCAAGGCAAAAGAAACAAGAGAAGATCCTCTGCCTAGGTTCGCCGCGGCCAACATCTCACTTCGCCGCGGCGAAAACCCATCCGTGAAGGCAGGTCTCTGTCATGTTTCGCCGCGGCGAAACCCTCGGAGCAGCAAATCTCAGACTCGACCATTTCGGGAAATTTTGACCTACCCATCCCCAACAACCGACCCATGCACGTAAGTTTCGGGTTAGAAACCCTATTTTGGGTATGATGACAGGAGATGACCATCATTCAGCCACCACCTTCGTATCTTTCATCCTCTTCTCTCATTTTCACCTCAGAAACCCTAATCCCATTTCCATTTCCTCCATCTGCTGCTACCATGGCTGAAGAATAATATCTGGTTGGGGTTGATTCAAGAGTTATGACTAGCTAAGCTTCTCAACTCTTGAATATGGTGGAAGAAGCATGAGTTCACAAAGCTTCAAAGGGGAGTTAGCTTCATCTATAAGTTCTAGTTCTTTGTTTATGAATTTCTAGGTCTTAGGATTTGTAAATTTGGGCTGAGCTATTTTGATTATGGTTGTAATCAATTCTGGATGATTGTCTTGTGTATTGGATTATTAGTGTTGAATTTGAGCTTCAATACATGTGGTTACATGTATGTTTTTATGCAACTCTTTTGATACTCTCTGTCTTGCATGGTAATGTGTGATTGTTGAGTTGATCTGGGCTTGCATTTAACCAAGTGCATTAATTAATCTTAATACACACACTAAGTTAGCTTAATATGATCTTATGAAATGGGTACCATTGATTAAGATCCTAGACTTAAAGAGTTCTTTAAGGTTTTTCATTTAGAAAACTTGGTGATTTCTACTCCCATACTTATTTTGAACTATGATTGCTTCAAAGCTATATTCAAGAGATTACATATCATTAACTTACTTCATTACTACTATCTAGAAAAATCCAAAAGCATAGTCACTTAGATTTGAATTAATTGCATTTAGTTTTAGCATTTCATTAATGGATAAAAACACCAAAAACCCCTTTTTCATTACTCTGCATAGCATTAATCTAACTTAGACATTTAATTTAGGCTCCCAAAAGAGAACGACCCGAGTTTGCAATACTGCATAGCTTGGATAAATTTTGAGCGAGAACCTCTAAGCGAACGACAAAAAAGGCTCTCTTTCAAGTGGCGCCGTTGCCGGGGAGCCAAGAAATTGGTTCTCTAGGTTAGCTTGTGCTATTTGATTGACTTTTGAGGTTTTTGATCTTTATGGGTAGCATTTAGGGTAGTTTAGTTGCATATTTGTTCATAGTATAGGTTTTCATCTTGCATAGCATCAAAATTTTTGGAAATACAAACAA